ATTTCATTGTTGAATGTGGACTATAAAATATATGCGACCATCTTGGCAACTAGAATGAAAAGAATTTTAGTTCACTTAATACATCAAGATCAGTCTGGGTTTCTGATTGTTTCTCTTTTTCCCCTTTAACCTCAACTCCCCTTTTCCTTTCTGTCACCCCTCTTGTTAAAAAAATAAAAATATAAAGAAACATTTCATCAGAAATAGTGATAAATGCTGTCATTACAAAATTACTCAACTGGGTGTCATCTTTACTTAGAATAAAACTAGAGTGTGTTTACACTGGCATATAGTTTACACTGGCATATGGGAGGCAGGAGGGAGCTGTGCTTGGGGGACATTTTAACTGGTGAGATCTCTTCTGGTAGGCTGACCTTTGTACTCCCTGACCGCATGGTCTGAGGGGGCGGGGCTTTGGCTTTAAATTAGTGCCAGCAGAAGCATTAAGCCTCTTGTCTGAAGGGGAAGCAGAGGCAGGAGGGAGCTGTGCTTGGGGGACATTTTATTTGGTGAGATCTTTTCTGGTAGGCTGACCTTTGTACTCCCTGACCGCATGGTCTGAGGGGGCGGGGCTTTGGCTTTAAATTAGTGCCAGCAGAAGCATTAAGCCTCTTGTCTGAAGGGGAAGCAGAGGCAGGAGGGAGCTGTGCTTGGGGGACATTTTAATTGGTGTGATCTCTTCTGGTAGACTGACCTTTGTACTCCCTGACCGCATGATATGAGGGGGCGGGGCTTTGGCTTTAAATTAGTGGCAGCAGAAGTGCACGCCTGACACCACGCGAAATTCTCTGGTTCAATTTTTTCTCTAATCTGCTAAATAGGATAGCCAAATAGCCTTTTATACACCTGGGGGCAGGAATGTTTGAGGAGTAGGATCATACTTCTGCACTATTAGGGAGCAGGGCGGGTAGGTGGAGCTCGTCAGCCATGGAAGGCAGCCCATCTAGGAGAAGGAAAACTCTGATTTCAAACCTCCACTGCCTTGTGGCTATATCAACTGATGGAAAAGGCTTCAGGAGATAACCTCAAGGCAAAATCCGGAGCCGGAGTCCCGTAGACAGTTCGTGTCGTTCTGGCAACTCCTGTGATGTCACTGGAACCAGTTGTATTGGCTCTTGCCTTTCCATTGGACTATTTCAGTGACATGGAGAGGGGGGATTTTCTGCTTGGGTAACAGCCTATCCTCCATATTATTCTACCCAGGCTTTGTGCTCTGGAGAGGACACTCCAGCATTGCATACAGTGTCGAAATAACACAGGAACTAGCAGTTAGTGGTTATAAGTCTTGCTCGATTGGCATAGAGCATGATGCCAGGAGTTACTTCTGATGGTGGAAGAGCCGACAAGCAGATCAATAACCCTGCACCACACAACAATCAGAAAAAACATCTGCCCTAAAGTTGAGCACCTGGAATTTACGGACAATAATCCCTGGCTTTTCTGACAACCTGCAGGAAATAGAC